TACGGACTCAGTTTGGTAAAACTATAAAAATCTTGAGATCCGACCCTGGCGGTGAATTTGTAGCGCATGAACTCTTATCATTCTTTCAGCTTGAAGGTATCCTTCAACAGCAGTCGTGTCCTGGAGTCTCGCAACAAAATGGGGTAGTGGAGCGTAAGCATCGACACGTCCTGGAGCTTACACGTGCCATTCTTTTCCATTCTCGAGTCCCGGTTGGTTTTTGGGTTGAAGCGATACACACGATTGTATACTTGATCAACCGGCAGATCACACCACTCCTAGGACAGAAATCTCCATTTCAGGCGTTGTACTCAAGGCTTCCGGATTATTCATCCTTGAGAGTTTTTGGCTGCACATGTTTCGTGTTGTTGCCCCGCCGGGAACTTCATAAAACTAGCTCCGAAAGTGACACGATGTGTCTTTGTTGGGTATAGTGAGAAACATAAGGGATATCTATGCTATGACCCGAGTGATCGCCGCATGCGGATTGCATATCATGTTAAATTCTTGGAAAAGGTTATGTATTACTCGACATCTCATGTGGACGCCAGTTCTGCTAAGAGTTTGGAGTTTTTAACATAGTTACCTATGTTTGATGAGACTAGCGGCGAGGCCCACAAGTTCTTCGAGTTCGAGTGAGTCCGTTGAGCCGTCCTCGCCTGATAATTCTTCTTTTAGCTCTTCGAGCTCCTCATCTCCTAGTACTAGTCATGGGAGAAGTTTGGGCACTTTGTCTTCCAGCTCGAACTCTTCCACTTCGCATCATAAGGAATCACAGCCACCTTCACCTACTCAACCACTAATTCCTTTACGTCGATCGGCACGGGCAAATTTGGGTCAACCTCCTCCGCGTATGAATGACTTTGTTAGCTATTCTGTTGCTCATATTACTATTCCCACACATTACTCCCAGGTAACTCGAGACCCACGTTGGAATGCGGCCATGCGTGTGGAGATGGATGCTTTGGAAGAAAATCATACGTGGGATCTAGTACCCCGTGAGGAAGACATGCAGGTGATAGGAAGTCGATGGGTGTATAATATTAAGATGCACCCGGATGGAGCGAATGAGCGCTTCAAGGCTCGGGTTGTTGCGCAAGGATTCAAACAGTAGTATGGTATCAACTATGAGGAGACGTTTGCTCCTATTGTTAAAATGCAAACTGTTCGTTGTGTGTTTGTAGTGGCTGCAATGAAGGGGTGGTCTCTTATTCCGCTTGATGTGAAGAACACATTTCTTCATGGCGACCTGAAGGAAACCTTCTATATGGAGCGACCTCCTGGGTACGAGAAAGGCGATTCTACGATGGTCTGCAAGTTAATCCGTTCTCTATATGGATTAAAGCAAGCACCTAGGGCATGGTTTGAGAAGTTTCATGGGACTATTCTTCAAGCTGGTTTTGTCCAGAGTCAGAATGATCCGTCACTTTTCACACTTCAAACAATTGAAGGTATCGTGATTTTGTTAATCTATGTGGATGACATGATTATTACTGGCAGTGATCAGGACGGGATTCGTGAGGTTACGGAGGTGCTGTGAAATGCCTTTAACTTAAAGGAGATGGGAGAGGTATCATACTTCCTAGGCTTGGAAATTAAGAGGTCAGCGAATGGTTTGCTTGTCTCGCAGCGAAAGTACATTATTAACCTTTTAGAATCAGCTCAGTATACAAATTGCATTTCGTGTTCGACGCCCATGGAAAAAAATCTGAAGTTGAGTCGAGAAGAGGGAGACAAGTTAGAAGATCAATCCGTCTACAGCAGCCTTGTTGGAAGTCTGATCTACTTAACCTACACTCGTCCAGATATATCGTATGCAGTACAGGTCGTGAGCCAGTTTGTTGGAGTTGCTACTCACCTCCACTTGGCTGCGGTTCAGAGGCTTCTTAGATATTTGAAGCAGACACAAGATGTTGGGTTATTATTTCCGGCAACAGGAGACCCTACTATAGAGGCATTTGCCGATGCCGACTACGCAGGGTGTCTTGATACTCGTAAGTCTACGTCTGGGTGGTGTGTTAGAGTTGGCCAGGCTTTTGTTTCATGGAGGTGCAGAAAGCAAGATCGGGTTTCAAGGAGCTCAACTGAAGCGGAATATCGGTCGATGTATGAGGTCAGTTCAGAATTGGTCTGGTTACATCGTTTTCTTAAAGAAATGGGCGTTGATTGTCGAGTTCCAATGCACATATATGGGGATAACACGAGTGCTATACAGATTGCAGTTAATCCTGTTATGCATGACAGGACCAAACATATTGAAGTCCATGTTCATTACATCAGGCAATTAGTGGCAGAAGGATTAATTCAAGTTGGGTACTTATCTACAGAGGATCAGACGACAGATTTATTAACAAAGGCTATTGCTTCCAGTAGGCATTGGTATCTGTCATCCAAATTGATGTTGCGTACTGCACATCAATTTGAGGGAGGGTGTTGAAGTTTATTTGTATAGGTACCATCTTGTAAATATCCTAAACCCTATTAGCAGTCGTGTACCCTATATATATGTTAGCTGATACAGCCGATGGAACTAAGCAATTCCGATCATAGTGGATATTTTGGAGAGTGCCGTCTCTCCCATGGATTAGTCCTGCTAGTCAGGGATACCACGTTAAATCGCTTGCGTTTGTCATAGTTTGTTTGCTCTAATTGACATAGGTAAATTCAAGTATACGAAAGATTAAAATTCGTATAGGAATACAATAAACTTATTGAGTGTGAATGACAAAATATACTAAAGAAGAAGATTCTCTAACATTATTTTACTTGCATGGATCAACCATACAAATTATTATGTGAAAGAAATGATTAACACAAAAGAGATTATATTCCATAATATTATTTGGTATGATTTCTATTTCAATTTGATTTTGCAACAACATTATAAAGCTCGTTCATTACAAAGAAAAGGGCGACACTCAAGTTCTTATTAATTTTCTTTTTTTTTTTTTGGTAATAAATTTTCTTCAATTATGCGGTTATAAAATTAGTCGTACTTATTGGTTTCCCCAACCCCATTGATGGACACCTCATATACTTATTTTTTAAATGGCTGGAGAAGAAGAAAAAAAGCAGATTCTATTTATATATAAACTATATATATATATATATATAAAAGGCTTGATCCTCGTGGATCATACCTCCTCCATTGCTAAAATAGTTAATACCGTGCTTGTTACATTTGGTACCAACATACAGAACTTTCCAGGAGGAGTTTATGATTATATTCCAATCCTTTTCTGTAAAACAATTCAACTCCTGATAACACGATCAGCAAAATGAATTAATTAGTAATCTCAAATCTCGAGTCCTTTTCCTTTCTTCAACGCTAACATTAAGTCCGCACTCTACTGTATATCTAACGGACGTTGCACCGCCACCGGCCAGTCCACAACTATAATGGCTGCTGCGTAATCCACCGCGCAACACGTTTCCCCCCGTCCACCCCTATTCCCCCTTTTCCTACTAGACGTCGTCGTCGGTTGATTAGAAATAGGGGTGGGCAACGATTCAGTTTACACGAATCGATAATCAGACTGAATCAGATCAGATCGAGGAAAATCGATAAAAAAGGGGTGAATGTTTCAACGATAATATCTTTAATGTGATAGTGTATAAATAATTTTATCAACTAGTAACCAACAGTTCTCTAACAATTAACCATAAATCAGTAGGGCTGGAAAAGTAGACCATATCGTTTGAAAAATCATGGATCAAACCGGGCCGCACAGTTTGGTCCAGGCTGTAGACCGTTAAGTATGGTCTGATCTGGTCCATGGTCTGTTTGATATGATTTGATTTCTTGCTGTGGTCTGGTCTAGACCGCGGTTTACCAGACCAAAACGTGGACCCAACAGACTTCTCAATATGTGTTAGCAACCGACTCGACCACTCTCCCAACTCCCACAACGATACACAAGTCTCAATTTTAATTTTGAAAATCTTGTCCCCTCCTTCATTCACATTTCACAAGAGAGTAGAGACGTCAGACGATCATGTCTCCATATGATATTATGTAAATGTTTATGATGTCATGGTGCAAATTGAGATGTTTTGACTTTATACCTTTACTATATATTGAGACTGATAGTGTCAAAATTATTCGTGCATGTACGAATTTATGTTTTAAGGAGATAAAAACATTTTTTTATCGGCTATTGGTTCAATATTTTGTGAGGTTGACTAATTAAATTGTTCATTTCTCGTTCACCGTGGTCTATCTGGACCAAACCGTACCGGACCAAACTGCACAGGTAGGGCTGGCTATTTGGTCCGGGTTTTTTGGTTTTACTCGAAACCGGATTGTATAACCCGGACCGAGACCGGATCGGGACCGGATAGTAAACAATCCAATCCAATTTTTGGGCTTAGGTTTGAGGTAAAAAACCGTTCGGGACCGGATAAAAAACTGGATAAAGGCCGGATAAGAGAGCTTAACACCCAGAACTTAAGGATAATTAGCATAAACGGTCACAAACCTTTGCACTTAGTACAAACTTAACCAACTCATCACCCTTTTAGACCTTAGGCCACTCAAATCCACACAAGCTCAATAAAAAATCAAGACCGAATTGGGACCGAACCGGGTCAAGATCGGACCAGATCAAAACCGGACTGTATCCAATCTAATCTTTGGTCCTTATATTTTCGAAAAGACCGGATTGGACCGGATCAATTTGGGCCAATTTAACCGGACCGGACCGTATAGCCACCCCTATGCACAGACATGGTCTGATCTAAACCGTATAGTCTGTGATTTGGTCTATGATCTATACTCTAACCTTTCGGTCTGGACCGTAGACCGCATATATGATCCGGTCTGGACCAAACCGCTTGACAGCCCTATAAATCAATAACCTCAATATCACGTACAGTTATGGGGGCGACCAACAGTTTTAATGACGACCCCACACTAATAATGACACACAAAATGGCACTAGAAGTCCAGTCCAGTTTATAAAGGAGACCATTTCTCCCATCCATCCCACTATTCAATTCAAATCCCATCCCCTGGAAAAAAATCCCTCTTTCTCTTTCTCTTTCTCTTTCTCAGTCTCAGACTCTCTAGTCTTCACTCCTACTTTCCGCTCTGTCCAATCCAATGGAGGATCAGGATTCCAATCCGGCCAAAGAAGTCGCCCGCGACGTCTTCCCTTTCCTCCGAGTCTACAAAGACGGAACCATCCAGCGACTCGTCGCCACCGAGTCACTCCCGCCGGGTCTCGACTCGGAAACCAACGTCGTCTCCAAGGACGTCGTCATCTTCCCCGAAACCGGCGTCTCCGCCAGGCTCTACCTCCCCAACTCCGCCGTCGCTGCAGCCGACGACGAACCAATCAGCAGGAAGAAGCTCCCCCTTGTTGTCTACTACCACGGAGGCGGATTCTTCGCCGCCTCCACCGCCTCCAGAGAGTACCACTCTGCTCTCAACCGCATCGTCGCCGCATCGAACGTCATCCTCGCCTCCGTCGATTACCGCCTCGCGCCGGAGAATCCGATTCCGGTTCCCTACGCCGATGCATTCGCCGCGCTTGAGTGGATCGCTGGCGCCGGAGGCCGCAGCGAGCCCTGGCTCAGAGATCACGCCGATTTGGACAGAGTGTACTTGGCAGGTTAGATGGTGACAAAATGCAATTGTTGGTACCTAAAGTGCTTTAGTGTGACATACTAGTACCTAAAGTTTGTGATTTTACAAAATAGAATTAGATGACTTCTAATTTGTGAACCAGCTTAATCATTTTAATAAAATTCATATGATGATTATAACAACCTAACCAAATCAATGACGGGTAAGTAGAATCACCAAACCAGTTATAATAACCGTTTGGTTCATTTGATTGGACGGTTAAGAATGAACCAAACGACTTTTAGCAGTTTGACACTAAATCAGATGAACAACCCCGATTTGGCTGTTTCACTGGTTTACTATTTTAATAAAAATCAAGAAAAAAACTTTAAGGTAAATTAAGATCATCCAATCTCAATAACAAATTTTACTTTTGTTTTCTTTTCTTCATTTCTCAGTCTCCTTATATGCTTTCTGTGATCCAATACGGATTGTCACTCTCCTTTTATATTATAGCGCAAAAACGGTTTCATCAACGATTCTACAATAATTAATCGTTGAATCATCAACCACTAGATTTTTCGATCAACATCTAATCCAATTATGAAAATATTGAATTAACACACACAGAATTCATTTTTTTCGCAAACTCATTGAAACCATGAATTCACCTATCCATCCAATTTGTTTGTCTCTATTGTTAGGTGACAGCTGCGGGGCGAACATGTCCCACCATTTCGCACTAAAGTTGAGCGGGTCGGGTCGGGCGCTGAGAATCCGAGGGGTGGCGATGATCCACCCGTATTTCTGGGGGAAGGACCCGATCGGCGCGGAAGTCGGTGACGGGTTCAGGAAGGCGATGGTGGATAACTGGTGGCTTTTCGTTTGTCCGTCGGAGAAAGGGTGCGACGACCCGCTGATCAACCCGTTCGTCGAGGAGGGAAACGGGTCGGGTCTTCAGAAGTTGGGTTGCGAGCGGGTTATCGTGGTGGTGGCGGGGGACGATATTTTGAAGGATCGGGGGAGGCTCTACTACGAGAAATTGGTGGGGTCCGGGTGGAAAGGGAAAGCGGAGTATTTGGAGACCGAAGGGAAGGATCACGTGTTCCATATTATCCAGCCTGATTGTGAGGAGGCCAAGATTGTTTTCAAGCGCCTGGGTGCATTTTTTAATGACGACTCTTGAGGCGATATGTTGATGGTTACAAAAGATTGGTGACGAGTGGTCGAATGAACTTTGGATTATTTTGTTTTGTGTTTTCGTATGCTTGATGTTGGTGTTTGTAGACATGAATTGGAAACCAAGACTTTAAGCTCTGACGAATGAAGTGGATTGGTGAAATTTGCTCGAATTGTTTGGGGATCAACAAAATTGATTAGTTTTGTACTGGTTATAATAAATTGTAGCGAAACTAATACGAAATCAACACAAGACGCGGAATTTACGTGGTATCCCTGATGATTAATCAGGACTAATCCACGGGAGAGACGAACCTCTCCGGCTGCTTATTTTATTGATGAACAACTTAATAACTCGGCAGCATGGCCTACAGTAGCATTATATGCCCTACTTCCCAATTGTTTTCTACTAGGACAAGGAAAGGAACAATGAAAGCATAAACGTGGACTACAAGGAAAAGGGCAGTCCACGTAGGAACAAGTGGGCCGAGCCTGTTCACAATCCAATACGCCCCCGCAAGCTGAGCGGTGAAGATCACGAACGTTCAGCTTGGATAGAAGAAACCGGAAACGATCGGCGCCAAGCCCTTTAGTAAAGAGGTCGGCGAGCTGAAGATGAGAGCTGACCTTGAGGGGAAGTATATCACCAGAAACAACCCGTTCACGAACGAAATAACAGTCCATCTCAACGTGCTTGGTTCGTTCATGAAAGACAGGATTGGCTGCAATATGAAGCGCAGCCTGATTATCACAATGAAGAGGTGTGGGGCGCTGTTGTGGAACACCTAGTTCATGTAATAACCAACGCAACCAGAGAAGCTCACTGACAGTACTAGCCATCGCCCGGTACTCGGCCTCTGCAGAAGAACGAGCCACCACCTTCTGCTGTTTAGTACGCCACGAGACTGGAGCGGATCCAAGGGAGATAAAAAAACCAGTAGTTGACCTCCGCGTAGACTGGCAACCACCCCAATCTGCATCACAGTGAGCAACAAGCTCAAGCGTATTATCTGCAGGGAAATAAAGGCCTTGACCCGGAGAGGTCTTCAAGTACCGCAGGATGCGCATCCCAGCATCCATGTGAGCCCGCGTAGGAGCATGTACGAAACGACTGAGGATATTCACGCCATACGTGATATCCGGGCGCGAGACCGTAAGATATAGAAGACGACCAATCAAACGCCGATAAGACGAACCATCAACCAAAGTGTCTGACGAAGGCTTTGTGAGTTGATGATTTTGCTCGACAGGAAAGGAACTGGGACGCGAACCGAGGACACCCGCCTCGGCTAAAATATCCAAAACATACTTCCTCTGACTGATGACGATGCCACGAGGGGACCGTGCAACCTCGAGGCCCAAAAAATAACGAAGAACACCGAGATCCTTGATGCTGAACTGCTGATCGAGGAATCTCTTCACATGATTGATAAAATCCATGTCATTGCCTGCGAGAATCACGTCATCCACATAGATCAATGCGGTGACAAATATATCCCCCTTTTTGTAAATGAAAAGGGAATGATCAGCCGGAGATGCACGAAAACCGAGGTCGCAGAGAGACATGGTGAACTTCTGGTACCAATTCCTGGATGCCTGACGTAAACCATAGATTGACTTATGAAGACGACATACCCGAGAATCACCGTCGGCTCCAAAACCAGGGGGAACCTTCATATATACTTCCTCCGATAAATCACCGTGAAGGAATGCATTATTAACATCAAGTTGATGAAGAAACCAACCACGACTAGCAGCCACAGCAAGCAAACAGCGAACGGTGACGAGCTTAGCCACAGGTGCAAACGTGTCATGAAAATCAACTCCTTCTATCTGGGTATAACCTTTGGCAACAAGTCGTGCTTTATACCTCTCGACAGAGCCATCAGGACGATATTTCACCTTGAAAACCCACTTAGAATCGATGCAGCGTTTACCGGGAGGGAGGTGAACAAGCTCCCAAGTACCATTCGCTTTAAGGGCTGAAATTTCTTTAGCCATGGCTTCCCTCCAATGAGCATGTCGTACAGCCTCCTTAAAAGTGCGGGGCTCTGGGACACGATCCACAGAAGCTAAAAAGGCACGATAAGAAGGGGTGACACGATCATAGGAAACTTGATGGGAAAGGGGATACCTCACGTGAGAAGCAGACGTGAGATCCGTTTCATATATGTCAAGCTTTTTAGGTGGACGATGCTCCCGCTGACTACGACGAAGAGGTGCATCCAGAACAGGTTCCGGTGCGGCAGGGGGTACAGGCGAAGTGACTGCCTGCGGAGAATGGGGAACTGGCGACGATAAGACCTCATGTTGTGAAGAGGTTGACTCCCGCGCGGACGGAGATGGCTTCTCCGTAGAAGCACTGCGAGAAGGTGTGGACAACTCGTCATCAACCGGCTGTGAAATGGGACAAGACGTGGGAGAAGAAGATGTGGCCAATTCATTGTGGTCATCACATAGCTCCATGATAGTGGACGTAGGTAGCCAATGGAAATCACGTGGATCCTGTGCATGGAATGGAAAGTAGCTTTCATGAAAAATTATGTCACGTGAAACCAAAATCTTACGGGTGATCAAATCATAATATCGGTATCCCTTTTGAGTTGCGGCGTAGCCCAAAAATACTCCTGCACGACCGCGATCGGCGAACTTATGGAGACCACCATGGGTATCCTTAGCATAAACAAGGCACCCAAAAACGCGCAAATGAGAGTAGTTTGCTGGCTTCCCAAACAAAAGCTCGTAAGGAGTCTTTCCCGTCGCAGATGTGGGTGTCCGGTTGATGAGATAAACTGCTGTAAGCACGCATTCGCCCCAAAAGCGGATCGGGAGCCCGGCATGAAACCTGAGTGCGCGTGCCACTTCTAGAATATGTCGATGCTTCCGCTCAACAACCCCATTTTGTTGAGGGGTGTCAGTGCAACTTGTTTGAAGTACTATGCCTGCCTTCTCATAATAATCGCGCAGTGCTGCCGTGGAAAATTCCAGACCATTATCAGCCTGAATTCTGCAAACTGTGTGACCAAACTGCGTGTGAACCATCTCACAGAACATAGTAATATAATGAGCTACTTCCGACTTGAACTTGATAAGATATACCCAAACACCGCGACTGAAATCGTCAACAATTGTCAAGAAATAATGAGCACCACTAGTAGAAGCTGTCTGATAACCACCCCATATGTCTATATGAATTAATTCAAAACAACGTGACGTCTTAATAGAGCTAAGCTGAAAAGGTGTTCGACTCTGCTTAGCACGGAAACAAGAATGACATGGTAACTTATTCTTGACTGCCGACATAGAAATAAAAGAACTAAGTTGAGCAAGTCTCTCCGAGGAAGGATGTCCTAAGCGAAGATGCCAGGTCTCGTCTGTAACTTTATGACTTCCATCGGCGGCAAAAGCTAGCTGCTCACTATCACCCAAAAGCTTCAAGGAATATAGACCATCACGGAGAATCCCCTTCCCAATCACGGTCCTGGAGTGTAAGTCCTGAAGAATACATAGATCACGCAAGAATATGATAGCCACATTATTATCCTTAGTTAGCCTGCTAACTGATAACAGATTGCACTTGAACTCGGGTACATGTAGAACTCGATCTAGTTTTACTCCAGAACTCAATGATATCGAACCAACACCCTTGACAGGTATACTGTCACCATTCGGAATCTTAACCGGCTGACTTGTTTGTGTAACTAATTCACCATCAAACAAACGTGCATCTTTGCAAATATGCTCGTTGCAACCAGAATCTATTAACCACTCAGAGTCACCAAGAAACGTACCTGCCATATGAGCTGTCGGATCCTCAATTGACTTAGACATATTGAAGAATTTACGTAGCTGTTCAAGTTGTGTCATAGTGAAACCATGCACGGGGCTGGGCTCGGATTCAGCCGCTGCTGCTTTCGGGACACGTTCTGCTTGGCCACGTTCTCCTTGGCCACGTCGTCTACGAGCACCCTTTTCATTCTTCTCATTATTATCACGACGTCGCTCTCTCTTATCCACCTTGTCTTCACCATCTTGGCTGGGCCAGCCAATAATTTCGAAGCATGTCTCCTTAAAATGCCCAGACTTCCCACAATGAAGGCAAAGAGGCTTACCCTCACTAGTACGAGGCCTAGACTGACCATCGGTGGAATTTTTGGCCGCGAAGGCGGCTGCTTCAGGAGCTGGACGCCTCTTTTGCGCAAGTAGGCGCTGTTGTTCATCAGTAGATACGATATTATAAGCTTCCACGAGGGTCGGCGGAGGCTTCATTGATAATATTTGACTGCGAACTGTTCCGAAGCTCTCATCAAGGCCCATGAGGAAATCAAGGAGCCTGGATGTTTCTTCTTTGGCATGAGTACGAGCTTCCAAACCACATGTGCACTGTCCACAAGTGCATTTCTCCAACGGCGCCAATGACTGAGCCTCCTCCCAAATTGTTCGGATGCGAGTATAGAACGCCGATACTGACAATTTCTCTTGCCAGAGAACGCTAAGCATACGACGCAGCTCGTAGCCTCGCGTCAGGCTGCCTTGACCAAAACGGGCCTTCAAATCTACCCAGACTTCTCTCGCAGTTTTCGCATATCGAACGCTGCTTCGTACCTCCTTATCCATGGTGATTCGAAGCCAACCCTTGACTACAGCATCGCATCTATTCCATGCTCTCAATTCAGGGTCCGCAGCAGGCTGGGGAAGGGTTCCATCAACAAAACTGAACTTGTTCTTGACTATAAGAGCATCCGTGACATCAACAATCCACTCACCATAATTCGAAGAGGTGAGGGGTTCACTGACCGGAAGCTGGCCGTTGATATCCGACGGATGTAGAAAATAGACAGATGAGGGATCTTGCTCCAGTGCGACAAGTTCCTTCTTTGAACCAGAACTTTGAGGCTTCTTCGAATCGTCGTCATCACTCATGATGATCAATTTTGACGAGGAAGAGAAGAAACTATGATAGGATCAATGCTCTGATACCATAATAAATTGTAGCGAAACTAATACGAAATCAACACAAGACGCGGAATTTACGTGGTATCCCTGATGATTAATCAGGACTAATCCACGGGAGAGACGAACCTCTCCGGCTGCTTATTTTATTGATGAACAACTTAATAACTCGGCAGCATGGCCTACAGTAGCATTATATGCCCTACTTCCCAATTGTTTTCTACTAGGACAAGGAAAGGAACAATGAAAGCATAAACG